TATAAAAATCAAGGTAAAAGGTGTTCAAAATGCATCATAAACCATCAGAAGTTTTAAATTTAACTATCCAACCCACCAAACCAAACCAAACTTAACCTAACTGGCAGGTGAGGAGGGGACTCCGCATTCGTTCGATGTTCTGGGTGTGTACTGCCACAGACGAACGTAGTATATAATAAAATGTTAAATAGGCAAAAATTCGTCCATTGGCTGTCATCCTCAGGTTTTGGTATGTGAATAGGTCTTTTCTTGTGTGTTTTACTCAAATCTGATCCTTCATTTCTAAAGCAAATTGGCAGTTTTGCACAAAAATAGAGGTCAGATTTGAGTAAAATACACCAAAACACAATAAAAAAAACCTATTCTGATGCCAAATGAACCAACCTATCTAGCCTAACCTAACCTAGCCTTCAAGGAGGAGGAGGAAAGGAGGAGACAAGTGACTCTTAAGTGAGGAGTATAGCCTCAGGTGAACATGGCGGGACCCTGCAGACAGCCAGTGGAAGAATATTAACCGTTAAATATATGGCTTACTTTTACTTTTTAACCTCTTTGACACTGATCGGCTCATTAGCCGCTTGGGCAGTCGGTCAAGTCTCTGTTACACATTGTTGGCAAGTACTGAGCATGCACTGGCTCCTGAATGTATCTGAACCTGCTCCAGTGTTGGTCAAGTCTGCTCTTGAATGAGCTCACACTCAGTGCAGTCACTACACTCTCGGGCAGGTTGTCCCAAGAGTTCACAATTCTCACTCAAAAAAAAGTTTGCCCTCACACTTTTCTGGACTTGTGGTTTCTTCAACCTTGAGTTGTGACTCCTTGTGGGGCAGGCATCCGCCAGCTCCAGGTATGGACACTTGACTGAGTAGTGCCCATTGAGATGTTTATACACCTCAACTAGTTCACCACTTGCCCATCTGTAGTATAAGCAGTTGCAGGTGCTCTAATCTCTCTGGATAGCTGAGGTACCGAAGTGCAGACACCAGTCTGGTGGCCCTCTTTTGGGCCAGACGGGATGACAGTACTCCAGGCGAGCAGCTCCTCACTCTTGAAGATCATTACAAGGGACGGACTGTCGAGATATCTGAACAAACTTCTTATAAGACCTAATAATTTAGTTACTTGATTCACCTTCTTCTCACAATGGCCCAAGAACTTCAGTTCACTGTCAACATACACATCCAGATCCTTTTCGCCTTCAGTCTCTATTAATGCAGTTTCTTCGTCCCGTTGGGACACACCATTGGTACGACCCAGGTGCATCCTCTTACACTTTGTGACATTGAATCATTGCAACCATTTCTTCGACCACTCTTGAAGCTCAGAGAGATCTTTCTGCAGTTCTACACAGTCTGTTTGGTTCTTAATTTCCCTAAATAACTTGGCATCGTCCACAAACATTTGTTTGGAGGAGTGTATAGCTTTCTGCATGTCATTTATGAAATAAATACACAAAAACAAGCCCAATACACTGCCCTAGGGTACACCGCTTGTCACGGGTACACATGATGATTTAGTACCATTATCACCAAACACTGCTTGCAATCATGCAGAAAGTCTCCGAGCCACCCTAGGACACTTACCTGAATTCCGTACCCCTCCAGTTTAATTCTCAGGTTTTCATGGGGTATGTTGTCGAAAGCCTTGGCAAATTCTAGATATACTGTATATATTGTCGATATTGCCACCCTGTTCCAGAATTTGGGTCCAAACATTCGATACCTTAAGTAACTGTGTTAAGCAGGGTCGTCCCAGCATAAAACCGTGTTGGCAATCCTTTACAAGATTGTTTCGTAGTGCACGTTCCATCATGACATCTCTTATAATGCTCTCAAGTACTTTACACACTATGCTGGTAAGGCTCACTGGTCTATAATTATTCATGGAGTGATGACCACCCTTCTTGAATACAGGACTCACATAAGCCATTTTCCAATACTGGGGACCTTTTGCTCATCCAGGCATTTACAGAACAGGATCTTCAAGGGCTCAGCAAGCTTGGTGCACAACTCTCTTAGCACTATGGGAGGTACCGTGTCAGGGCCAAGGACTCTTCTGAACCTTTAGCTTTGACAGTATATTTTTATGCATACCCTCTTCTGAGAACTCAATGTGGGTCAGGGCTGTGTCAAACCTTCTGTCCTCAAATGCAGGAAGATTGTTCACATCCTCTCTTGTGAACACCGAGGAAAAGAAACTGTCCAACGGTCTGCCTTGTCCTCGCCTGAATCTGCGTATATACCATCTTCAAGCCTCAGGTCCGATACACCTACTCGCATTTTTAATTTCAACTTGTACCAGTAAAATGCCTTTGGGCTGGTTGGTTCCTGGATCTAGCATACATTCTCCTGACCTGTACATCATTTGCCCTAATCAACATCTCAAATTTCTGAATTTTTTTCCTAACTTTATAGACCGCCGCATGGTTCATGCATAGCGGTCGCCTTGTATTCCTGGAGGCACTGGGTTTGGTCTTGGGTATACATTTATTGATCAATTGGTTCATTTTACTGGCTATGATATTCAGCATAGTGTCTGCGTTCTTATATCTTAGTGAGTCAGGCCACTTTGGCCAGAAATGCCATTGAAGAAAAGTGTCTTAGAATTGTCAAAATTACCGAATGCAGCCATAAAATTTCCGAGATTCGTTTAGTGGCAACAAGTGAGATAATACCAATGGTAAATTTACAGTTTCAGCCACAACTATTGTTCAACCACAATTTTTTTGTTTTTCCCACGGTATCTGGTGTAATTCATTTGAATTTTACCCTCATTTCCATCAGAAATGAGTCGTTTTGGACTTATCAACCCCCTCATACAACCTAACCTAACCAAACCAACCAAAGAAACCTACCTAACATTATCTAACTTCCTAGCCATCCCCGCTATATTAAAAAGAAATACTTATTTTGATATCTGGTACCAATGAAAGCAACTTTATTGAAGCACTATGGTGTACTTTCAATTTTTTTGTGGATATGAGAGTATGTTCAGACCGAACAGCTCGGCTGTAAACAAACAGACAAAACTCTGTGACTGCAGATTTACGTTAATTTCTTACGTGAATTTACTTTCTTGGTTAATATTCATTTGCGACGGAAGTGGTATTGGAAAAAGTTGTTACTACTGACAAGATATAACTGATGGTAAACACAAAATTGCTCTAACCGAGTTGTGACTGAAGCTGTAATAATACAAAATAAAGTAACAATAAACACTACACCATTTGCTGAGGACAACACAAAGTACTGTATTAGCAATATTTATTTCCACTGTGGTCTCGTAACATGTGTAAACAAATACTAACAGTATCACATGCTTAAAACACTTAGGCAGTGGTTATTTTGTCGTGACCAACTAAGTTCCTCTAATGCTATTTTACTGTGAGTGTACTCTGATTGGCTAATCGTCCATAACTGGCAAACAACGCGAGAACTATATTTTGACTGTGACTATGGCAGCATTTGGCATTTATTTAGCCGTGAGTCAATTGTTGCGTAGCTCTAAATATGCTTAACCACATTTCTGTTATGCATGGAAACTTATTATAAAAGAGGCGACATTTATTAGAACTTAATAGAACCAGACTTAACCAATCGAAGAAACCTACCTAACCTTACCTAACTTCCTAGCCGAGGATCGGACCCCCCTCCCCCATGTTAAACAGAAAGTATTTAGCCTATCAGAGCAACTCATGGTAAAATAGCGGGTATTATTATCGTTTCAGGGATCCAGCAATTTTTTGTGTTTTTAAACAATAGGTTAGACAATTCTAAGACACTTTTTTCTACGGCATTTTGCCCGCTCATTAATAATTTCAGAGAAAATCACACCACATTGCTGGAAAATCGACTGTGAAAGGACGACCCCGATGACCCCAACTAACAGTCTTTTGATTCAAAACTTAAAATCCTAAAAAATCGCTGGATAACGGCACTGCTAAAGGCGATTTTTGTATGGAAATAACTGTTTTACAGCACAGTCTTCAGAAAACAATAAAATTAGGAGAACTATTATTTGGACACAATGCAGAAAGAAATAGTGAAGAAAATATATAAAAAAAATATGGGAAGAAAGACAAAAAGGAAAAAAAAAGTCAATCAGTCAACAATAACCATGGCAGCTTGATCCATTTTTTGTACAGGAAAGGTGCTCAGCTACGTACTGTATGTTCTCTTGTCTCGCAGCTACACTGTTGTTTACAGGCGTTCGCTTACAAATATACACGCAATACGACAAATTTCAGCTTCATTATGTCTTAATTTTTTGCAATAACAGAACTGTAATAAACTTTTCACCCTTATTTAAAGTACCTTATGAGTAATAATATTAAAGTCCCAATAGTATTACACCAAAGTCACCAACGGCTAATAAAATCGGACAGCACCCACTTAAAAATGGGCGGAGCCAAAACCGGTTTCAACTTGGCGCAATTCTTATAAATTTTTTCACGCCATAAGCTTTGTTTTAGGTCCTATCCAATATACTACCGTATATAGAATTATTTTTATTATTATATCAGTTTTTATTTTGCCTTACATGCCCTCAACTCTTCAACATTAATCAAAATATTCTCTAAAAGCGGCCATGATCCGCGTATTTTCAGTGGGAGAAATCGCTGGTTGGTTGTTAGCTATTTGGGCTGCTTGGGCACTGCATAAGGCTAGTGCTTGATCGAGGTGTTAGCTTTGCCCTCTGAATGTGTCATGCGCACAAGTCAAAAGCAGAGTCTGCGCATAGAATAACTAAAGCGTTAGCTAATCCGTTCATCGCAAACACCTTACAATAAACACCTTAATTTTATATAGGTTAGGTTAGTTTTGGTGTGATTAGCAGTAGAAATGAGTCAGGTTCATTCAATACACATCAAAAAAATCTGAAAACATAATTTCAACTTCAAAAAAATTAAAAAAACGAAGATTTTCGATTTATCTCCATTTTTTCTTACAGCACAGTAATCGTCACACTAAACCTTTACCAAAATATATATAGTACAGTACCTTGTATATGCTAAAAATCGCTGGATCCCCGAAACGATAATTGTACCAAATAGGTTCAGGGCGAAATATCCACTAAGGAACACTGTCACCTCCACTTTGAACCCTTTTAGTGTATAGTTGGAACAGAATCCTTACCACAACGGGAATATTGTGGTACACTTATGTTCAACACTGAGTACTGTTCTCGTGTTTGGTTCTCAACGGCGGGAATTTTGTGGTACAGGTACAAGTATATTCAGCTTTTCTCTTGTAGCACGTTAACGAGCAGTGTTTGACCTCTGTAGTGTTACTCTGTGTGTCAGGTTTTGTTTACGTTTTGTTGAAGCGAATTTTTTTGCGCTTATTAAGCGGAACTAAAGGCTAGATTTAGCTGATTATTTGATAGATCATTGTATTTCACTTTTCTTAATTAAAACTCCTTAAATTCATCTATCATATTTTTGGACACCTCCTGTTCCATTGTCAAAGATTTCTACCAGTCTCAAAAGGGTATTCAGATTTGCCCCCGAGGGGGCTAGTGCCAACCACCGGTCACCGTCATAGTTGTCAACACACGTAAATAATATAGCGAAAGTGGCTAGATTATGGTTGAAAATTGCTAAAATGGCTTAAATGCAGGACAAGAAAAACAAATGATACAGTGTAAAAAAGCCGTAAGAAAAAAATGGTTTACTTTAAAAATTTAATTTATGGCTGTAATAGCACTAAATAAACAAAAATAATAATGCGCGTGGCTGAAGAACAAGGAAAAGCAGTACATAGCACTACATGATAGCCCAAAAACTGCTAGCAGCTAAGTTGACAACACTGTACAGGCGTACACGTGACTTATCAGCTGACGAAAACTGAACGAGATCTCTACTTTTACTTTTTATTACTTTTATCCTCTTCGCCACTGATCGGCTTGTTAGCCGCTTGGGCGATCGGTCACGACTCTTTTCCTTTATATTCTTCACCAAAAGGTCGGCTCGCTAGCCGCCCGGGCGATCGGTCACGTCTCTGTCACGCACTGTTGGCAAATACTGGGCATGTACCGGCTCCTGGGTGTACCTGAACCCGCTCCAGTGTTGGTCAAGTCTTGTCTTGAAAGAGCTCACACTCGGTGCCGTCACAACACTCTCTGGTAGATTGTTCCAAGAGTTTACAACCCTCACTCCGAAAAAGTTTGCCCTCACGGTTTTCCGGACTTGCGGCTTCTTCAATCTTGAGCTGTGACCCCTTGTGGGGCGAGCGTCCGCCAGCTCCAAGTAAGGACACTCAACTGAGTAGTGCCCCCTGAGATGCTTATAAACCTCAACTAGGTCCCCCCTTGCCCGTCTGTAGTATAAGCTAGGCAAGTTCAGGCGCTCCAATCTCTCAGGGTAGCTGAGATGCCGAAGTGCAGGCACCAGTTTGGTGGCCCTCCTTTGAACATTTTCAACCAACTGACAGTCCCTAGCATATCTCGGGGACCAGATGGGGTGACAGTACTCCAGATGGGGAAGCACTTCACTCCTGAAGATCGTCACGAGGGACGGACCGTCTAGATATCTGAACGACCTTCTTATAAGACCCAATAATTTATTTGCCTGATTTACCTTCTTCTCACAATGGCCCGAGAACTTCAGCTCATTGTCAACATACACACCTAGGTCCTTCTCACACACAGTCTCAACTAGTACATTTTCTTCATCCCGTTGGGACATATGGTACGCCTCCTTACCGTTGGTACGCCCCAGGTGCATCCTCTTACACTTCGTGACATTGAATCTCAGCAGCCATTCCTTCGACCATTCCTGGAGCCCACAGAGGTCCTTCTGCAGCTCTTCACAGTCCGCTTGGTTCTTAATTTCCCGAAATAACTTGGCGTCATCGGCAAACATTTGTATGGAGGAGTGTACAACGTCAGGCATATCATTTATGAAACAAACAAACAACAGCGGGCCCAATACACTACCCTGCGGTACCCCACTTGTTACAGGTACAGATGACGATTTCGTGCCATTAATCACCACACATTGCTTGCGGTCATGTAGAAAGTCTTCTATCCACGCTAGGACATTTCCCCGAATTCCGTACCCTTCCAGTTTGATTTTCAGCCTTTCGTGGGGTACACTGTCGAAAGCCTTGGCAAAATCTAGGTAAATATTGTCGATATTACCACCCGTTCTAGAATATTTACTTTTACTTTTATCCTCTTCGCCACTGATCGGCTTGTTAGCCGCTTGGGCGATCGGTCACGACTCTTTTCCTTTATATTCTTCACCAAAAGGTCGGCTCGCTAGCCGCCCGGGCGATCGGTCACGTCTCTGTCACGCACTGTTGGCAAATACTGGGCATGCACCGGCTCCTGAATGTACCTGAACCCGCTCCAGTGTTGGTCAAGTCTTCTCTTGAAAGAGCTCACACTCGGTGCCGTCACAACACTCTCTGGTAGATTGTTCCAAGAGTTTACAACCCTCACTCCGAAAAAGTTTGCCCTCACGGTTTTCTGGACTTGCGGCTTCTTCAATCTTGAGCTGTGACCCCTTGTGGGGCGAGCGTCCGCCAGCTCCAAGTAAGGACACTCAACTGAGTAGTGCCCCCTGAGATGCTTATAAACCTCAACTAGGTCCCCCCTTGCCCGTCTGTAGTATAAGCTAGGCAAGTTCAGGCGCTCCAATCTCTCAGGGTAGCTGAGATGCCGAAGTGCAGGCACCAGTTTGGTGGCCCTCCTTTGAACATTTTCAACCAACTGACAGTCCCTAGCATATCTCGGGGACCAGATGGGGTGACAGTACTCCAGATGGGGAAGCACTTCACTCCTGAAGATCGTCACGAGGGACGGACCGTCTAGATATCTGAACGACCTTCTTATAAGACCCAATAATTTATTTGCCTGATTTACCTTCTTCTCACAATGGCCCGAGAACTTCAGCTCATTGTCAACATACACACCTAGGTCCTTCTCACACACAGTCTCAACTAGTACATTTTCTTCATCCCGTTGGGACATATGGTACGCCTCCTTACCGTTGGTACGCCCCAGGTGCATCCTCTTACACTTCGTGACATTGAATCTCAGCAGCCATTCCTTCGACCATTCCTGGAGCCCACAGAGGTCCTTCTGCAGCTCTTCACAGTCCGCTTGGTTCTTAATTTCCCGAAATAACTTGGCGTCATCGGCAAACATTTGTATGGAGGAGTGTACAACGTCAGGCATATCATTTATGAAACAAACAAACAACAGCGGGCCCAATACACTACCCTGCGGTACCCCACTTGTTACAGGTACAGATGACGATTTCGTGCCATTAATCACCACACATTGCTTGCGGTCATGTAGAAAGTCTTCTATCCACGCTAGGACATTTCCCCGAATTCCGTACCCTTCCAGTTTGATTTTCAGCCTTTCGTGGGGTACACTGTCGAAAGCCTTGGCAAAATCTAGGTAAATATTGTCGATATTACCACCCCGTTCTAGAATATGGGTCCAAATATCCAATACCTTGAGCAATTGTGTCAAGCAAGAGCGCCCCGGCATAAAACCGTGTTGGCAATCTTTTACAAGGTTGTTTCGTAGTAGATGTTCCATCGCTGCATCTCTGATAATACTCTCAAGTACTTTACATATTATGCTGGTCAGGCTCACCGGTCTATAGTTGTTCGTGGAGTGCCTATCGCCCTTCTTGAAGATAGGACTCACATAAGCCACTTTCCATTCACTGGGGACCATTTGTTCATCCAGGCATTTACAAAACAGAATCTTCAGGGGCTCTGCAAGCTCGTTGCACAGCTCCCTTAGCACTCTAGGATGCACCATGTCAGGTCCAGGACTCTTATGGACCTTTAGCCTGGACAGTTTATTTCTAATACCCTCTTCTGTGAACACAATGTGGGTCAGTGCTGTGTCGAACCGTCTGTCCTCAAACGCAGGAAGGTTAGTTGCATCCTCTCTTGTGAACACTGAGGAAAAGAAGCTGTTCAATGCCTCAGCTTTATCCTGGTCAGAATCTGCGTAACTACCATCTTCAAGCCTCAGGTCTGATACTCCTACTCGCGTTTTCAATTTCGACTTTGCATAGCGGTAAAACGCCTTTGGGTTTGACTTGACCTCGCGTGCAACCAGCCTTTGGAACTCCTTTTCAGCCCTCCTACACTCTATCTTTGCTTGGTTTCTGGCTCTTGCATACATCCTCCTGTCTTGCTCATCGTTTGACCCAACCCACGTCTTGAATTTCTGGGTTTTCTTCTTAATTTTGTCGACCGCCGCATGGTTCATGTGTAGGGATCCCCTCGTATTCCTAGAAGCACTGGGTTTGGTCTTGGGTATATATTTATCGATCAAATGGGTCATTTTACTAGTTATGATATTCAGCGTAGTGTCTGCGTTCTTGTACCTTAATAAGTCAGGCCAGTTGATACCCCTCATCTCTTCCCTCATCCCATTGTAATTTCCCTTGTAATATTTGCACCTTGGCCTGGCCTTATCTTGAACTAGGTAACAGTTAAATCTGAATGACAACACTGTATGGTGACTGGTGCCAACTGGGGCAAGGTGTTCCAGTTTGGCCACCATACCCTCCTCGTTTGTTATGATGAGGTCAAGTGGCTTGGGTGTTTGCTCCCCTCTGTAATGTGTCGGGTCTCTCACATGTTGGAACAGAAAATTATCTCTCAGAGTTTCTACAAAAAGAGTAGCAGGATTATTCAAGTCATTCGGGGTTGACTCGTTTCTCCAGTCGATGTCGCCATAGTTAAAGTCCCCCATGATAAGGAGGTGGCTGGGGTTGAGCATCGCCGCATTGTTTATTAAGGTTCTTAAGTTCCTTTGATTTAGTGGGCCACAGTTCGGGGATCTGTAGATACACCCGACGATAAGTAAGTCCCCTCCCTTTAATTTAATATGGGTCCAAATATCCAATGCCCTCTCTCTCAGTCTCTCTCTCGTCATTACAGTTTCATGTTTTTTTTTCCGTGGAGAAAATGATGGAAGCTGAAATTCCGGACTTTTGAAGAATTTTAAAAATTCCTTCCAGATGAAGATTTCGAGACCTAAATGGAGGACATGTCCGGGAAAATACGGTCGTATGGCAACCCTAGTTGTCATTGAGACTTAACTGTTACCTAGTTCAAGATAAGGCCAGGCCAAGGTGCAAATATTACAAAGGAAATTACAATGGGATGAGGGAAGAGATGAAGGGTATCCACTGGCCTGACTCATTAAGGCACAAGAACGCAGATACTACGCTGAATATCATAACTAGTAAAGAGACCCATTTGATCGATAACTATATACCCAAGACCAAACCCAGTGCCTCTAGGAATACGGTGGGATCCCTACACATGAACCATGCGGCGGTCGACAAAGTTAAGAAGAAAGCCC